TGAATTCTATAAAAAAATGGAGAAACATAACGTCTATTTCCTCGTTTAGGAGGCTCGATGACATGGCAGCGGAAGAATTGCCACACCTCTCTCTCCATTACTTACATTTCTAACTGATGTTATATCTTTTTGGCAAACACATCGGTAAAAGGTTCTCCAGTTTCAAATATCAATTAGTTCAGAGACAGGACATATTTTTACAGAAAAGTGTTGTTGTCAGTATAGCACTTCCTTTATTTATTCTAACAGGAATAAAAGTAAACGTGTAAAAAATATACCAATTAAAAAATGGTTTATTACTGAAGTTGTTACAGAACGTTAAGTTAGCTAATTACTTCATTAATTCACTTATGTACAAAATGGCAAGAATTGCTAGAATCTTTTTGAAAAAGAAAAAGTATTATGTTCAAACACAATAATAAGTCATTTAACAAAAATTATACCTTAAAGCAGATCGAAAATTAATTGACATAGCTGAGTACTTCAAATTAATTCTTCCGTCATATGTTCTTTCTATCATAAACAAGTCTTTTCTTTGCTCATATATCATGGTTCAGTAGCAATGTGTTGGCTTATCAATCAGTAATTGTCCACATCAATTACACCTCACACGTACTGAACACGGAAGCTTACCACTATCGACATAAAACCTTCAAGTTAGAAGCTATTAACAAACCATTACACTTAACACGAAAGTACCGTATCTATATTAAAAGCATAATTTAAGTTGTATTAAATTATATATTAATTTATGAATATTGCATCTAGTATTGAGTAATCCATATGCTGTCGATTTATTATGAAGTAAACACTTTCATACAATTTAAAATGCAGTGCTTTCCTGTAGTGTCCTCGAAAAGTTTCAAAAAAGATAATACAAAATTATATTATCTTAAATCCTACCAGGTTGATCTAGATTGAATCCTCACCTTTTTTTAAATCAAATCGGAGTCAAGCATTTTGCACTTTACGTTTCTCTGATTCAAATTATCATCTGATTCACTACGATAAATTTGACATAAAATGCACAAAACATACACTCAAACTCAAAAGTGTGAGTGCTTGCAAATTAGAAATCAAAATGTTTGATTAATAAAAAAATGTTTTTTGCTTGCTAAACGTCCAGTGGCAAACATTTCATGCATATTGAGGAAAAAACCAAACAAAAAACTATTCATAATATAAGTAGGTCTGACAAGGAAGATCGACATGGATGAAGGGCCAGAAATTTGGACTGTCACTAGAAAATGAGGGAATGTTGGATGAGGGCAGACATTTTGCGTTGCAAACATGCCATTTACGAACCCCTAAGAGAGTTGTTGCAAGTACCGATTATCAGGTTGTCTGCATACTGATATCGTAAAATATCAGATGCGAGTCACAATATGAAGCTTTTTGTCGAGTAAGCGCAGCGAACGAGTTCAAAAGGCTTCATATTGTGTCAAACAAGAAGACGTCTTGATAAGATCGGGTCGAACGTCAGTTCATACATTATGACGTCGTTGATATGTCCGGGTCAAAGTTATTAAGGCCGGGTCAACATATTTAACGTCACAAAGCCGTGATATGCAATTTTATTAAGAGTTGAGCAGAGTGATTTAGACAGTGGAACGACCGATAAGGGTTTTTATACTGGCAGAGAACGTTGCACCCACCCTACATGGACGTCGAATGTAACGTCCCGATTCATACCGGACGTGGCTGCGTATATAAATATCACGCACATCTAAACTGACATCTTTCTTTAGCAAGTGTTTTACTGCTGGTCGGGGAAATTCGAGGGACGACCATATCTCTAAACCTCACTTCAGAGATAAAAGTCAACCTAAAGGTTATATAAAAATGATGTCTAGAATCAGAACAAGCCCAATTAAACCAAACAAATATACACAACGTTTATTGAAATTCTCTAGTTTTGCTCGAGAACAAACATCTGGCAAGCAGGTACGTATAAGGAAAAATTGTACGTAAAGTAGCCTGAACGAAAGAGTGTAATCCATTTATTGGGATCTTCGAATAATAGCGCCGGGTCGTGTAAATGAAGATTGCATAATGGATAAAACAGGGTATGGTTGTTTAGAAAAATATGATAAAAAAAAACAGCCCCAGACAAGCAAATGGAATTGTTAGGTGTTATTTTATTCAAATGTTTTTTAGGAGTCAGTTGTTGATGGTTGTTGTGGTCTAGTGTACTGTCCAAATTATAGTTGATAATTCCTATTATCTTTTTTATGTATTATCAAACCAAAAAAAAAAAAACTACCATGTCATACAAACAGAATTCCTTTCCATCAATGTTTGCATCATATTTACTCATATTTACTGTAACTATCTTCTTACTGAAAGGTTAAAACTTAAAACCAGAAAGTGAAATATCTTCCATAATCGGCTTAGACGACTCTTACCGCTTTTGTGATTATGGTTTGTTTAGCATTAAATCTAACATTTCATGACCAAAGTTTATAGTTTGTTTGGTTATGACTCTTGTTGTTTATAGTTTGTTTGGTTATGACTCTTGTTGTTTATAGTTTGTTTGGTTATGACTCTTGTTGTTTATAGTTTGTTTGGTTATGACATTTGTTGTTTTTGAAAATATTTTTTTCTGTTGTCTTCATAGCATGGTTTATAAAGTAAATTTGAACAATCATTGCACATAAAATTTAGGTTTAGATTGAATTGTTTTTCTGATACGTCTAAAGTGACGAAAATCATTCTTTTTGACATAGTGGCACTTTTACGCATTTTTAATGTACACTTTAGATAAAAGAGGGACGAAAGATACCAGAGGGACAGTCAAACTCACAGATCGAAAACAAACTGACAACGCTATGGCCAAAAATAAAAAGACAAACAGACAAATATACAGATGACACAACATAGAAAACTAAAGACTAAGCAACACGAACCCCACAAAAAATGGGGGCGATCTCAGGTGCTCCGGAAGGGTAAGCAGATATAAGTGTATATAGTCCAACGTTAATAAAATATACCTTTTAACTCACTTTTTTTAACATTTATTTATTTATTAATTCATTTATGCATATTTTTGCCCTTTTTTTTAGAAAAATTTATTGAATATGCACAAGTAGAGTTCCGTACAATTTAAGATTATTTTCCAGTTATAAAGTAAAATGTCAGATTATCAAACAACTCTTGTAAATTTGATAAACGAATGATTGATGAAAACTCACCGTTGAAAAGTATATCATTTCAACAACTATGATTAAATCATATGTCTTTAACTCCATATGAAAAAAAGCTACCTTTCAGTATTAAATTAACATTTTCCGTCGCGTTGTCTCTCTTCGCAGAAGCGGATTCAGACAAGGGCGCAACCCCCACCCTTCCTAAAAAAAAGAAAAATGTAATTTGTAGGTAAAATTACAGCCATTTTTTTGTCGAAATATGGTCTAAGGAGCACCTCCCCCCTAACTTCAAATCCTGAATCCGCACCTGATTCAACAACAGACACTTTTCATTTGGAATATTTTTTATTGTAAGAAGTTAGACATAATTGCAGGAGTTTTTTTAAAAAGGCTGACAGTTATCCAAATAAAACTTTCACAAGCGGAACACAGGCAAATCTAAAATTAATTTAAGTGTAAAAAATCAAGCTGTTTCCCTGTAACATTTTCATTTTCATTTCCACAGCAATAATAGAAAACACACACAATGTTACAATCTAAATAGCGGTAACCACTTGCAAGATGTAAATAATCGTTACTATAGATAATGAGCATACCAATATATATGTTCTAGCTTACAGAAAAAAAGTCAGGTCATACAACCATTGTGTGACGAGAAAGCGAAGAAACTGTATTAAAACACTGTAGATGATGGTATAAAACAGTAACATTCCAATTATATTTTTACTCTTCATTGTCGTTCTCACATCAATGTAAAAGCCTAGACGCTTGATGTTATATTACTATATTGGTGGTAAAATCAGAATGCATCACGACACTTGTTTCTGAAATAACCTTCACGAGGTTCACTCAAGGAATCCAAACACATGAAAGGTATGTGAACATATAAACGAAATGGTCTTACATGGTATAGCAAAACTGTTTAAGCTTCCTTTTACTTTGGGAGTGCAGATGTTTAAAAGTCGATAAATCTTTGTAGATTGCAAGTTCACTTTGAACCTAAACAAAATTGCTAAAGTTACATTGCTAGCAATGACAACTTTAAATTGACTTGCATTACTTGACACACGGGGATAGCAATAACCCTAGAATACAATGTAGTTCAAGTATGTAGGCAATTAACTTCCAAGCAGTATGTTTATACTTACTTAGTCCCCTTGCATACTTGTACATAAGGCCATCATCAAAGTATGTTTATAATCTGGAGTTAAACCTCTAAATCATGTCCGAAGGAGGACACAATAAAGTTAAGTCCACACAAAAGTATGTGTCCTTCGATGACAGACTTTATGAAAAACTAGGATGCAAACATACTTTACCATTAGAAAATTCGTTAGGCCCCTTTTGGTTTTTATGCGTCCAATTCACAAATATTATTTGAGGTGAAGTTTCATCATCTTATCTGCTAGCATGCATGAAGAAGCTTATTCAGGGATTTGCATCAAGAAACGAAATAGTTAGTTGTTTTTGTCTAATCTTTCATACAGAAATAAAAACAAGGATGTGTTTTTTAATTAAACATTGTAAAAATTATTAAATATAAGTATAAGACATTCTTCTGATTCATTATTACTGTTGATATAAATAATAACCATTGATTTTATGGAACTAAAGCTTGTTAAAATACCTGTAATTCCAATTTTATTCCATACTTAAAATGAAGATGTTATGAAGACCTGAACAGTTGTGTTGAAATGAGAAAAAATTATATGTTCACTGAATGGCAGTTAAGTCATTAATCTTGGTGTTAATAGAACTAACTATATCAATTTGGCAAACAGTCGTTAGAACGGGGCACTTCACACATACAGATAAACAGGAATTATTAGGAAGATAGTGTTGAACATTGTATTATTGTAACACAGTAGTCTAAATGACGAGGACCTATACTTACATATAGGATATTGTACCACAGTAGTCTATATGACGAGGACCTGTGCTAATACGTTGGATCTTTCATACTTGGAAGGATTTTAATTATTACATGATAAAACAATGTTGCATTCAGGTAAGATGTTTTTTTTATATCTAGCTAGTTTATTTTACAATATATGTTATAATAATTCAAATATAATAACAATTGCAGTTTCAGTTTTCTTGGGTTATAAATAATAGGACATATTGTAATTGCGAGTATTATGCAATAATGGAGGCGGTCAAATGAAAAAGAGCAGATTTTAATCTTGTTTCTAGTCAGAACAATATACGTTTTATATAGGAAAAAGACATGAGAGATGTTAGGGTAGGAGTTCTATAATATGGTTTTAGTCAATAATTCACCTTTCTTTCAAAACTGGAATATACACGAATGGAATTGATTGCGTATTAATGGTATATTTGATGCTTAAAGCTATTATGTTTCTGTTCAAAAGTTTGATAACATTAAAAATTCTAATGGAAATATGAACACAATTGCATTAACATTGAATGCTTTATTACGTGTGCTGGCAATAAAGAAATATTTCTTCCTTATACGCGTAGTTCGTGATTAACTGATGAAACTTGAAACACTTTAATATTTGTCATACATATCAAGTATAATGTACCTAACTTGAGTCGTAAGTGTAAAATTACTACTTGTATAAAATTTTATTGAAATTTGTAGGACAAAGATGTTTGATATTATTTTGATTTGCGGGATAATAAATATGAATAAAAATAGATGGTTCTCCTGTACATTTGAATTTGGTATATACATGCTATCATGGTCAGCTGTTATCAATTGAAGACAGGTTTAGGAAATAAAATTTATGAAATTGCAGTCTTAATATACGTGAAACGGATTATTTTCAATATTTGTTTTCAGCAAAACTATAATAATGAATATGATGTTCACTGTCAGGCAGACTGAATGAGAACATAAGTGTAGGAGAAAAGATGACCATACAAAAATCAACAAGTAACTGCCTACCTGTCTTTAATACTAGTATACAGTAACTATTTGTCTATACTGTTAAACATTAACAACGGTTTATGTCTAGAGCAATATATATTTGTAATGGGGGAATTATACTTATTATTATCAGATCAGCTTTAATCCTATAATTGTCAATGTGTGTATTGTAGACACATAAAAGCTGTTGTATAGTAGAAGTAGAACTTCGGTTTTAACGCTTTTCAACTTCGTATTAAAGTTGGCCTTCACACTGAATCGATTCGAGCGTAAATAATGAGTTTTATGTAGACGAAAAGTGCGTCTGGCATACACAGTAGAAGCCTGGAATCTTTGATGAGTTTAAACAGTCTTCAATACAATACAGTACAATACAAAGTGTCCATACAGTATGCCTAGCTCTAGATCGCCTCGGACCTGGAAAAGTTGTGAATAAATTTAACACAGAATATCAAATTCATCAATATTCAAATTCCCCAGATGGCAAATTAAATTAGCATATACCTAAAGACAGCCTTTGTCGAGGTAAGAATGCTTTAAGCGTTTTCACTTTAATCTGAAGAAGACACACTGCCACTCAAAAACGAGCCTTAATTAACAAATGAACAGGTATTGAATGTAGCGAGAACTGGGTGGTGTTTCAATCTATAGTTCGATATAGTGGTAGTGTATAGTATAGTTAAAACCATTTTTGAAGAATTGGAATCTAACCATTGCAATGAAGCTGTCAGGTTAGTGATAACACCCATTAATGATTTCAATATAAGCCATTATACGTAATAAGGATAAAGAATTCTTTTAATTTTACACCATTTCGTTATAAAATTTGACCAATCCCCTAGGATGTTTATAATTACTGTCTAGAGTTAACAACACATTTTTTTAAAAGAAATTGTCTGTAACAATTGATTATAAAGTTTAAATCAAGGAAAAAATAAAGCTTGTTTTGTCCTTTACGTTGTTTGATTAATTGTTGTTTTCTAAACGTCAAATATATATTTCATGCATATTCAAAAACGACTTAATTCGATATACCGAAATTAACGTAGATTGGTTGAACAATGATATAAAAAGATCATAAAGTAAATCTTGATATGCTTATTACTTAAAAGTATGTACGTCTAATAAAAAAAAATGATATGAAAACAACTCCTTCTGAAGTATTGAAGTTTATATCCAAAACTTACAGATATCGACAAGTGTAACACGAGCACTTTACTATAAAGTAGTTTTTTACGTCATACATTACAGTGCTTAATATATCGCATATTTGTTTTGCTTTTAGATATTTTTTATTTGGAGTTTGATCCTTATTGGATAATTGGTCAACTTGGAGAACTATTAGTTCCATATTTGATTTTGGCCTTTAGAAATCTGAGTCCTGATCGATGTTTACATTAATCAAACATTTCCTGTTACACCATAATCTAGCTGATTTTTATGGAATTGTCAATACTATTTTGGTAAAACTTTATGATGTAATAAAGTTTCTCTGTAAATAATTGATATCTCATTTGTCTTAATTCTGCTCAAAAGTATAGTAATGAAAAAAAACTTGAACTATCAATAAACAAGCGCAATAATACGATAGAAAAAAATATCTTAACGACTCTGAAAGTTCCGGAAAAATAAGCATATAAGAGGACGGAAAACTTTTGAAAAAATGACGAGTGATATTGGTACATCAGTACCCGGAATAAATGTTCGATTTTTGCTGAAATCTAAGGCAAATAAAAGCATCAGCTGCCAGTTAAGCAATATGACACTCCTTTACTAAAAGATTGCATAGATAATTAATATGACTTTCCTTAGGTCTATTCAAGCTGTGATTTATTGTATTTCTTATGATTTTCACTAACTTACTTTAAAACTATTATGCGGTTAGTGTTAAGGAAAGGGAGTAATTTTACCCCAACGATGCAACTGACGCAATCCCACCTAATATGTTTGAGTTGATATGATCCTGATCAAGTTTTTAGCGCCACTTTATTGATCGTGTGTTGGTCGTTAACCTTTTAGGAATTGAAGCGTGAGAATACCAGACGTAAAGACGATATGCTACTTTGCAAGAACTATTTTCACTCGTAAAATCTTCCGGTTTTTAAGGTTTGACAAAATCATATCTAAAAGGGAACCTATAACGATTTTTAATAATTATGGTTCTAATCTTGCGTCTATATGTTTCGGAGTTTAGTGTGACGTCCATTTTCACTGAACTAGTACACATTTTTGTTTAGGGCCAGCTGAAGCGGGAAGCCCGCCTCCGGGTGCGGGATTTTCTCGCTGTATTGAAAACCCATTGGTGGCCTTCGGCTGTTTTCGGCTCTTTGGTCGGGTTGTTGTCTCTTTGACACATTCCCCATTTCCATTCTCAATTTTATATGTGTCTGTAGTAATCGCATCAAAGGCCACATCGAGACCTGGAAACAGTAGGAGCGCAAACAATGAAGAGTACCGACAGCACAAACAAAACTTTCTTTACTCGGCCTTTCTTGAACTTATGTATATTTTGATTAATAAAAAGTTTTACTAAAAGATGTAAATGATGAAGCGCTTACTTTTGAAAGGATAGTATATGCACTATTATGATAGAAAAATTCAGGTCTAGTCCCAATAGTTTGGAAGCTAATGCCCATAAGCATCAATAATCTTATTTATAATTAATAACTGAAGCCACATTTATTGAAGTATTTTGATGAACAAAATAAGGATAATTAAAACATAATCTCATCAAAACACGATTAATAATGTGAGATGCTGAGATCGATTGGTAGAAACTGATCACAGATAGATACCAAGAAAAACAACGCTGCTGCAGATTTGTATCACTTTAATTAAAGGCCAAAATGTCGCTTATATTTTATACGCCTACGGATTTGAAGAAAACTCAAGTTCGTATGGATTATGATGCTACTAAAATCCGAATTCAAAGGGAGATATCTAAGTACACAAATGTAGTACTTTTTACGGTTACTAGTATCGTCGATACTTTTGAGTTTTATACATCATTAACTATTATGTCTTCAATTGACGTGAAAACCTAATAAATTGGATGAAAATAAATAATACACAATACAATACAATACAATTTTTTCTCTAATTTACCAAACTGCGATGTAAATTTCCAAATTTCAATATATATCTTTCGTGGTGAATTGTTCATTTGTTCCACTTTTACAGCATGTTTCTTTTTACATTTTTTGTTTATGAATAACTATCTTGCTGGCTTACACAAATGCCCCTTTTAGGGTTTAATACTGAAAATCAGACCAGATCTGCGTAGTATATGAATGAAAGGAAGTAAAGGGTAAACGTTCGAGACAAACTGTCTGTTGAAAGTGTTGAACAATAGCAAATGTCGTTATTAGATTCCAAGTGCTTTAAAAGTTTGCGACAGCCATACGTTCACAATGTAAGAGTAGCCCGATTAGCGTTTGCCGAGCGATTTAAGTAGGAGAACATCTCTCATACCATATACTTTTTCGTTTAAACACAAAAAATGTATGATAAGCAAACCCTTGGTATCGATATTCTTTAATGTTTGGCATACTTGCTATTAATCACTCATCGGTACTTAATATCTTGTTTATTTATGAATTGCCCGAGATATATTGTTTTCTGTCCAGATAATATTTGTTCATACAATATTAACATGTTTTTTAAAGGATAACAATATATATCTTCATCGGGTTATCGTCTTCACATCACAAATATTTACTTCCACCACATATCTTGATGTTTGACAGATGGTATCATCTCGAATATGACTAAGCAAAAAGTTCTGTTTTCCCGAGAATTATCAACGTAAATATTTTCTTAGCAGGTAAAACAAAATTATCACTTAAAGGATCAAAGAAAAGGTCAACAATGCCACATGAAGCTTAATACTGAAGTTTGGCTGAAATTCGTGGTCATTAACACCAGTTAATGATTGGTTGATTGATTGATTGGTGGCGATTTAACGCCTCGTAGAGTGATATAAGCGATAAACAATTTACGTTTCCCCTACTCATCCGATCAAAAACATATGAATAAAATTCGAAATAAGCGTAACAGGATTTCTTCTTTATTTCAGACCCTTGTTACCGACCCTTTATATACTTACAACGAACACT